CCACGCCCATCTCTGCAGAGCTGGACTTTCCCTATGGCCTCTCCTCTTTCGCCGGGATTCAGTACCCACAACCAAGGGCATGTCACAGGCAAGCTCCCTTGTGCCCACACTGTGGGATCCATTTGACTGAGATTAGAAACAAACAAACAAACAAACAAAAAAAAAAACAGACTACTTCGCTAGAACGCTGTCCTAGGCTCAGGAGGGTCCTCATGCAGCCCTGCTTTTCCCCACCCCTCGGCCAATGGCTGGTGAGACTGAACTCTCAATTAGACTAAAGGCTGGCTGACTCAGAACGTCAAGCAATCAGGAGCACCAGGCCTCTCCAATTAAGCAGCCAGCCCCTCTTCCTTCCCACCACGGCCCTGGGATAATGAGGGCAGGCAGCCTGGGTGTGCATGTCCAATTACAGAGGGGACACAGCCCCGGCTGAGGATGGCACTGCCTTCCACCGTGCTCATTAGCTAGTAGCTGCTGAATGCTGCCAGAGCTCTTGCTGGGGATGCCTGTGTGTCCCCACGAGCACCTGAGGATCTGTCCTCCTTCAGCAGCCCTGGGTCTGGACATTTCCATGTCAGGGATCTCCTTCACATCCCTTCTCCACAGCCTGCCCAGCCCCCTCCCCTGGGCTACTGCCCACTGCAAAGGTGAGGAGGGGGAAAGCAGAGATGGCTCCCCACAAAAAGGCAAGCCCAGAAGGGAGGGCTCCTGATGCCCAGCACCCTGTCAGAGCTCTCCTAGTCCTCCAAAGATGCTTGTTTAACCCCAGTTCTGACTGCGATTCATTAGCCACAATTAAATCCTTCCTGCAGGGCAAGGAACCAGGTCTCCTTGGAACATGTCCCCAGTGCCAGGCACTAGTACGCGCACAAGCATTTGTTGCATGAGTGAATGATGTTGCCATTCCTCTTCTCCCAAACACCAGAGAGTCCCTGCAAGGGCTAAAGCTTTGTAGGATCCATGTCTGGGCTCCTCAATTCTCCAGTGACTCAGATCCTAAGTGACCATCATCTGGGTGTCTGTGCCTTTGTGACCATCTTCTGGGTCCCCAGGACCTTACAGACCTATTGATTCTCTGCACAAATGCAGGCTGTCCTCCAGATGGCCATTCCTCTAACAAGCTCTATAAACCTTAGCTTCCCAAAGCTCTCAGCGCTGCCCCATGTCTTCCGGTCCTGGATCTCAACCCCAGGAGGCCGCTGGTGCATGCTCCATCCCTCCTCTCAGCCCCTTGTTCCTAAGTCAGTCGGCCACCACATCCTTCAGCAGAGCCTCCCTACCTTCCAGCTGTCCAGCTTGTTTCTGCCTCAGTGGTGCCGTCTTGCCCTCCCTGATGCCCTTTGATCTCTCTTGGCCTTCAGGGCCCAACTTTTCCTGGCAGCTCTAAGTTCTGGAAACCCTGGTTCCAACAGCCTTGGACATCACTCTACAGAACACTGTCAAGCAAGATGTAAGGAAGTGACCATCTTGGATACCCCCTTTTGGGCTTCTCTCACGTAGGAGTCATCCAACAGGCAGAATTAGTGATTGAGTGTTCTGTACACATTACACCCTGGCCCGGAAACAGCCAGAAACAAATGCCTATTGTTTAAGGTGCCCAGAAAGTGGCCTCTCACAATGGCAGCTACAGCTGACAAACGCAGGGGGTGTCACCTATTCTCTCCTGAGATCCGTGGGAGACCAGGTCTATCCTTTGTAGCATGTGTGCAACTTGAGCAGGAAGGTCTTGGGGTGAACCAGTCATAACAATGACAATAATGAGAGTCCTATACTGAGTGCTTGCAATGGACTGTATACTGCTCAGGGACACTCCCCACCCCATGCTGCTTCATCCACTACTTACACTAGCCCAATTACGACAGAAACATTGTGACCTGTTTTATAGGTGAAAAAATGGAGGTCCAAAGAGGTAAAGTAACTCCTACAAGGTCACTCCATGACAGCCAAGCCAGGACTCCAGAGATCAGCATCTCTGGACCCTACTGTTGGGGAAGGAGGAGCCAGCCACCCTCCCAGGTCCCTGGACGAGCATGGACACAGTCCCAAAAGTTCAGGAAGAGACCCTCCAACCCAGTAAGGTGCTCTGTGCCCTGCACAGTATGGAAATGGTACTTACTGGGAAGCCTGGGAGGACCTGCTGCCCCCAGGACACAGGTAGACCAAATGGCCTCCCGCCCTAGCCCTTTGCAGTCTAGGACTTTGTCCTTCACGGGACCCCCAGTCACTCTATTTTTCATTTGCTTCAAATATTCTAGGGAGACCAACACCATTTCAGCATAGGACCTCTGTCCCTATAATGCGTATTCCCAATGGTAACCATCACCAGCGAACTTGTCTCCTGCTTTCCATGTCTCCTTGCAATCCACTCAATATACAGCAACTTAAATACATATTCCCAAACACAACCCAGATCACATCACACCCTTGCTTACATACCCACCCAGAATTAAAACCCTAGATCCAGACCGTGACAGTTTTGTGGGATCAGCCATGCCCACCAACCCAGATGTCTCCTAATATTAGTTCCTTGAACAAGCCTATTTGGTCCTGCCTTGGGGCCTTCCTGCTTGCTGTTCTCTCCTCCTGGAACACTTCTGCACTCAGATCTGTGCCAAGGCTGACTCTTGCTTAGGTTCACGTCTGTGCTCAAAAAAGCCTTCCCTGAGCACCCAGTCAAATGCTATCCTATCACTCTGTCTTAATTCAATATACAGCACTCAGTCTACTTGACATGATTTAATGCTTATTCATTCATTATTCATTGTCTCTCTTCTCCCATTACTGTAAAATACTCTCCATGAGAACAAGGATTTTGTGTATGTTAGGCAAAGTATGGCCAGTACCTAGAATGGGGCCTGTAACCAGAGGGCCCTCTCCCAGCTACAAAATGAATAAACACAAATGAATGACACAATCTTCTCAAAGACAGATTAGGAACCCCTCCCCATGTCCTCCAAATGGCCATTATCTACCTGGGGCCCATTAATACCTCTCTTCCCACCTTTGGCCTCAACAAGCCCCAAAGCTCAAAGGGCTCCTCTGCCTCCCTAGTCATGCCGGGACCCATAGCCTGCTGCAGAGTAGAAATTCCTTTAAAAGGGGATGTCCTCCAGCAGCCCACGGTTCTGGGGTACCCAGCAGATGTGGTGGGGCAAAGTCTGAGCTGGCCCTGGCCCTCACTGCCTAGGAAATGTCTCTCTAAGGAACAGCTAGATCAACTCTTTGGTGACCAGCAGCAGCAGCACACTCTGTGCTAAGGACCCCGGACATTTCCAGAGCAGAAGCTGAGGCTCAGCTCTTCTTTGCAGTCCCATAAACCTATAATAGAGCAGTTGAGGGACCGAAGGACAGGAGGAAACAGGCTACCAGGGCCAGCTGTCCCAGGTAAACATAACCCAACTGCCCAAGTCCTGGAAATGAGACATTCCTGAGTCCTAAGCCCACAGCCTATATTGGTTTCTAATCCAGGGCCTATAGAGGACCAGACACTGGGACACCCAGACGCCTCCACTGTGCTTGGACCAGGTAATCCACATTCCTCAGCCAGCTTACCACATACATGTGACAGAGTTGAGGGGAAAATGATCATACCCTAATTCTTGGCTTTCCTGCTTATTAGCTGGGTATGTTAACCTCTTTCTCATCTGGCTTTCGAATGCCACTGAAAATGCCCTTGTCAAGATTGCCAATGGCCTTGATAATCCAAGTTCTCATTTGCTTCTCTGACCCTTCCATAGTTTATAGTCCTCTCAACCTTTACCACCCTGCCTCACCCTAGTCTTTTTTTTTTTTTTTTGCACCAGGGATTGAACTTGGGTACTTGTGCTTGTGAGGCAGGCACTGGAACCACTGAGCTAAATCCCCGGCTCACCCCTAGTCTTAATTCTCCTATTATTCCTTCCCACATCTTATTTATTTGATTACACCAGTTTTTAGTTTCTTCACCCAATGTCATCTCAAGAGGGAAGTTGTTTTTTTTTCCCCCTCAGTCTTGTTCATTATAACAACTCCAGGCTTAAAAGTGACTGACACATGGAAGTTACTTGAAGGTGGATTCCAGAAAAACTAGGATGAAAACAAAAAAGAGGAAGATATGCTAACCTGGAAATACCTGTATGTGTCTAACCAAGGAAGGCAGCAAAGGGAAGCCCCATAACAATTTCTGTGTATCAACCAGCCTAGACTAGAGCAGGAATTAAAATCTAGAAGGGCTTCTTCTAGGAAAAAACAAATGGGCTACATGTGATAGTAAAACTGAGATATTCAATTGGGAGGTATGTTATGCTTTGGGCAGTAAGATAAAGAAAAGCAATTAGAAGCTCCTGGAAACACTAAAAGTTACATTTTAAAAAGTCTCACTCAATATTAAGTAATTGAATATATGGCACAATTTAGCATAAGAAAAGGAAAATAGCTTGCTGCAAAGCTCATTCTTCTTTGAGCAACTAGGGATCAAGAGAACAGACCAGGGCTGGGGATTTAGCTCAGTGGTTCTGCTGTCTGCCTTGCAAGTTCAAGGTCCTGAGTTCGATCCCTGGTACCAAAATAAATAAATAAATAAATAAGAACAGACCAATGGAATAGGAAGTGGAATCCTAGCATACAACTTGCCCTGAGGAAAACAGTACTTATCTAATGACAGCTAATATTTATCGAGGGCCTATGGGCCAGGTAAATGTTACCCTCACCCATATTGCATAGATGCAGAAGATGAGGCCTGAAATAGACAAGTTTTCTGAAGTCATGTAGCTAAATGTAAAAGATGGATTCACACCCAGACTCTGATCCAGAAGTCCACTCCCTAAAGCTGACCCTAGAAGCCAGGCCATCTCCTTTAGACCTTAGTTCTGAGCACCCCAAGTGCATGTACATGCAGGTGCACACACACAGATATGCATACACATTCCTAGGAGCCTCTCCCCCACAGGATGCACAGCCACAGAGCAGCAGAGCAGGTCCATGCCAAGGACCCAAATGACAGGGCCAGAGCAGGGTCTTACCTTTCTGCAGTCTCTGCAGAACACTGACGAGCTGCCCAGGAAGCCTAGCACCTCCCCACACAGCAGACACTGGGAGAGGCCGTTCCCCATCACGTTTCGCCTCATGGTCTCCAGCCGCTCCACCAGCCGCCTGCAGCACGTGACACAGAGTCAGAGGGCATGTGCTTCCTGTCCCCAACCCAACCACTGCCTGGACATGGCTACCACAGGGTCCCAAGACTATGCCACATGAGCTGTTCCCTCAACTAGGGTACCAACCCATGCCCCCTAACTCATAATTATGTATTCACTTATCAACTATTAAATACTAGACTATGCCAAACGCTGGGAAGATTGTAGCAAACAAGCCAGAGACAGACACAGCCCTTGTTCTCACAGAACTTATGTTCAATAAGGGAGAAAATCCATAAAAAAGTAAACAAGCAAGCTGGCTTCTGACAGGGAGCTGCATGTGAAATGCAGATAGTGGAGGGGGTGGGGAGACAGGGGCAAGAGGCACATTAGCTGGTGACCAAGGAAGGCTCTCTGAGAACATGAGGACAGAGGTGGAGGGATGGCAAGAACCCAACCATGTGACACAAAAGCTGGGAGCCTCCAGGAGGAGAGCCGGTGCCAAGGTTTGGGCCGAGAAGCAGCCACCAGGAAGGAGGCCACTGAGGCCAAAGGAGGCAGGGATTTAAAAAGAAGAAAAGCACAGTGAGACAGGAAGAGCAAGCCAGGGCACACTGCATGGGTCACAAAATGGAATCTGGGTTTTCTTTTCTTTTTTTTTTTTACTAAGCTCAATCTGAAGCCACTGAAGAGTTCTAAGGAGGGGAGTGATTTGATCTGAGTGACATCTGTGAAAGCTCACTCTGGCTTCTGTGGAAAGCTGGGATAACAGGGAGGAGGCAGAGGGAAGGAGGCCAGTAGGCAGCTGTGGACGGCTGGGAAGGAGGATGAGACAGCATCGATGGCTGGGGTGGGGCAGGTGAGAGATCCAGGATGACGTGAAGGCTTTGGGTCTGAGCACCTGGGCAGGAGAGAAAAAACAGCTCCTTCTTGAAACTCTTAGAGACTGAGCATCCAATGGGCTTCCCAGGACCCTGCTCAGCCTGGGCATTTCCTCTCCTCAGGTCCTATAACCCCTTGTCACACTGCCACCCCTGCCACATGAACAACATCCACGGAAGTGAAAACTCTTGAAGGCACAGTCATATTATCTCCTGCAATTGTCACAGCTCCCAGTGAGGGGGCCACAGTCCCATTTTAAAGATGAAAAGGCTCAGAAAATATGAAGCCAACTGCTGGGGTCACAAAGTTCCCAAAGAGGTAAAACCAGGATCCACCCCTAGGCCTGTCCAGCCCAGCACCACCCCTTCACAGCCCCCTGCTGTCTCCTGGGCTGATGCTGCACTCTGCTGGGCTTCGGGACAACAGACCTCGACCCACATGCCCTCCAGCAGCACTTCTGGTTTCCACGGGTCAGAGCCCCAGCCCTGGCAGGACCCATTTGTTCTCGGGAACCCTCTGTCAGTCTACTTCATGTCTCCATGCCTCATATAAACAGATACACCCCCCCCTCTCTGAGCAATTAACCAGCACCATTGCCTTCTGGTCATCCAATGCCCCGGCTGACCCAGCCCTCACAGTGGGGCCAGAAAACAGGACTCCTGAAGGCAGTTCCAGGTAGGCAAAGACAGTACCTCAAGGGCTAAGAGGGCCCATAACTGCTTCCAGAGCACAGAGGGCTCCCCATCCATCCCTGTTCACTCTCCTAGGGCAGCTAGGAGCTCAGGTCAGTCACCCACACTGGAGGTCATCTGAGAGCCTGGCAGGGGTGGAGCCCAAGCAAGGTAGGTGGCATGAAAGAAAATTCCAACAAATCTGTTATAAGCTCTCCTACACTAAAATGATAATTATATTATTAAGGCACACACAGGAGACTGCTAGAACAGCAGCCATCTCCATAGCGGAATCTTTACCTTCCAAAACTGTGGGTCTCTACAATGTCTATGTTTTTAAATGATCATATAATCAATAGAAAAAGAACAAGGAGACCAGAATGAAATGAATTTCTGCCCAAGGCAATGCAGTGAGATTGTGTTCTCCTACTTGTGCCTTGCTGTATTTCTCAGGTTTTTTAGGACATAGGAATTGCTTTTATAATGAAACAAACAAAAAGACACAATAAAAATGTTGGGCTGAGTTGTGGTCAACTCTGGATGCCAGAGACAGAAAAGGAACTTTGAGCACTCTGGAGGACACCTCCTGCTGGGCCCTTGGGGGGGCTGTTCACTGGTCAGCAGCCATGTGACTCTGTCCCTTGGCTGAGCCACAGCTGGTGGGCAGGTGTGTAGAGCCCAACAGTCCCCAGGGAGGCTCACCAGGCTCATTCCTGCCCAGGAGCTTTGGGCCCATGCACCAGTCCCTATCCTTAGCTTAGAAATGGGTACACTGAGGGTTTGAGGGTCTGTACACTTGCCTGTACCCCAAGGTGTCTGCCAGAGCAGCTAGGGCCCTCCTTGACTCATGCTCAGCGGTGACACAGAGTGCTGGGACTCGGCACACCAGCGTTCCCACCAGCTGGGCTCCCACTGAGTGCCTTTGATTTCTTCCCACCAGCCTGGCTGCTGCCTGGTGCAACCAGCCCTTACCCGATTCTCTGCTGCTCCAGGGTGTCCAGCCGCTCGGCCCTCTGGATGACCTGCAGGATGGCCTCCACCTCGGCCGGGCTGAGGCGCTGGCTCTTCCTCTGCTTCTCGGTCTGGTAGGTGTGCACAGACCAGCCTGTCTGCAGCCTCGGGAGAAAACAACACTGGTGGTGGTACGAACACCCCAGGGTGAAGCTGGTGCCCCCACAGCATCCATAAAGCCCCTGGGAAGGGTCTGGAGACAGCCAGGCACTAGAGATGCAGAGCTCATGATGAGAGTTCCTGAAGGCCTAGTTGAATGTCCATGACCGGGCTTCAGCATCAGTGACAGTCAACACAAGACACACTGTCTCCCCTCAGAATAGAAGTCTCTAGAGGGCCAGGCCTTGGCCCACCTAGCCCCAGCCACCCCCATCTTCCCTTCATATCATTCACCCCCTATTCTCTCCACTTAAGCCATACCAGCCTCCTGTCAGGGTCTCTACATGCCATGTTCTTTCTACTTCAGGGCCTTTGCACATGCTGTCAAACTTCCTCTATATTTCCACCTAAAATTTACTCCTCTCGCAGGTCTCCACATAAGCATCACACTTGTAGAAAAGTGTCTCCTAATCCCCCAGACTAAATTAGCACCCCACACATGTCCCCATTACCAACTACCACTGTCAAAGCAGCTACACACAGGGAAGTGTTTGCATAATGCTCACCTCTCCCCATCTCTGCTTGAAGACAATGGACTGTGTTGGTTTTGTTCACTGCTGTACCATAGTGCCTGGTACATAGTAGGGGCTTAGAAAAGGTTAGGTGCTGGAGCAGAGAAGGGAGCTCCCTGGACTTCCTGGACAGTCCCATAGGCCTAGCTGGGCCTTGCAACCCTGGCATCTACAATCACCCTTCATGGAGACTGTCAGGCATTCCAGACAGCACACCCCAGGAAAGAGAAATGTGTTCACTCTTCTGGAAGGTGCCAAAACAGCTTCTGCTTGCCACTGAGTGAGAGCTGAGGTCAGGGAGAAAGAAGGGACACTGGACAGGAGGGCCATGTAGGCCCTTATACAGAGTGCATACAGCTGGGCTGTCCCCAGCAACATGTGCTCTGCAGGGAGGACACATCAAGCATCTGGCATCAGAAGAGAGGGAGGAACTGTCACTCTCCCTGCAGGGGTCACATGAGGGAAGCTGAAGGAGCTGAGCCATCGGGCAAAGGGGACAAATTAACTGTGAGGCAAAGATTCCTGCAAATCATGCATGACGATACTCATCTTGGGCGTTTCAGATTAATTTTACTGTCCCCCTTTGATGTTCCTGCTCTGTCCCCCTGCAGGCTCATAACATCTAATTGCAAATTTCTTAAACTTGGTCCCAGTTGGGGAAGACTGGATCCCTTAATTGGCACAGCTTGACAGATACTGGGGTGCTCTTGGACTGATCAGACACCAGTGACCTCAGCCCCTCAAAGAGCTGGGGAGGGACTGGGAGAAAGGAGTTACATCTGATATTCACCCTGCCCCTCCAGAAGGGACAGACAGTGCAGGGAGAGAGTCAGATCTAACCTCTAGGGAGCTGAGGGATCCCAGGCTGAGGGTTAGCAGGAAAATTGGGACAGACCTTGGGGGAACTAGGGAAGAAGATGCTGTCAAAAGCATGGGAGGGCTGGGGATGTAGCTCAGTGGTGCTGCCGCCTGCCTCACAAGGGCAAGGACATGAGTTTGATCCCTGGAACCAAAAAAAAAAAAAAAAAAGAGCATGGGAGACCTGAGAAACAGGCTGGCTGTGGCCTCAGACTAAGGGGCAGCTCTCCCTGCCTGGAACAAGCCCATACTTTCTGTTCATGCTGGACACTGAGCTCTGCAGTGGGCACCCAGAGATCAAACACTTTCTGCCTCAAGGGGCTTCCAGCCTTAAGGCTTAGTAACAAGAGAAAGGGCAGGTAAGTTTGGTCTGGTTCCCTGGCCACTGTGATGGAGCACACTATGGGTGGTGGCTGGGCCCAGACATGTGTCTCAACCCTGTCATGCCCAAGTAAGGTGACACGGGCTGTGCCCACTTTCCTCATCTGAGCAATGGGGATCAACACCACATGGGTAAATGAGTTAAGTCCCTAACTCAAGGCCCAGAGTGTGGCACGCATTCAACAGGCACTTTTCTCCAAACTCTTCTACTCCCTGGAAGGAATCTTGCCTGAGGGCCCGAGAGGTACTCACTTGGCTCTCAGCGCAAGCTGCCGATCATTGGGGCAGACCCACTGGTCATTTCCACTGCTGAAGATGGTGTCTGCCATGACTCAGAGGACCCGGCCCAGGGCAGGAGTCACATCTGAGATGAGAGCTGGGGATTTAGCTCAGTGGTTCCACCACCTGCCTCACAAGCGCAAGGTCCTGAGTTCGATCCCTGGTACAACGACAACAACAAAAAAATCCAAACACATCTGAGATGAGAAGAGGTAAAAGGAAAGACAATGTCATTGACTCAGGTGCAGATACCATACACTTAGGCATCCAACACCTGGCACTTCCAACCTATCCGTGCACACTGTCCCCTGCTGACACCTGGACTCATTCCTCCAGCAAAACACAGCTCCCTCAAAGCTCCTTTTCCAAAGGCCCAGGATTCTGGGAGGGGTAAGCAGGTGCATCATGTGGCTAAACAACCAAAATGGACATGACTGGTAGAACACCAAAGTGTGAGAATCAGGAGAGAAAAGGCACAGCCTCTATAATATCAGCTGGCTGGCCCTGGAGGGTACTGGATCCCTGCTCTCCTCCACCACAGCCCCTGCAGCACTGAGTGATCCCCGCCCAGCAGGAGGGGCCCAGGGGGAGACCAGAGAGCCAGGCCAAACCCTAACTTGCACCCAAACACAAGGGACCGAGAATGGTGGCCCCAGGCCTCCATGCTCTGTTCCTCAGGAAGTTCACATCAAAGGCCACTGTGTTTTCTGGAGCAGGGAGGAGGGCAGTGAGGTTGTGGCAGTAGCCAGGACCTCCACTGGCCACAACTCCAAGGAGCACGGTCCACAGGGACTGCCCTGGTATCCCACAGGGAAGGACCCTGCTCTAGAGCTACTTGGTGTCCTAATGTGAGCATAGCCTAGCTTAGCTGGCTTTCTCCCCGCCAGCAGAGACAGGATCAAACCTTTGATCATGAGGATGCTGCACGTATGTTCTGAAGGGAGAGTGTGTATGTATATGCACATGTGCATGTGTACTGGGGGGAGAGAAAAGAGGAGAAAGAGATAAGCTTGGCCAGGAGTGAGCAGGATGGCAAGTATCTTCTAAGGGTTTCAGGGTTTCTTTTTAGGATAATAAAAATGTTTGGAAATTAAGTGGTAATGGTGTTTGTACAATTTTGTGAATACATTAAAACCACTGAATTTTATGGTATGTGGATTACTATATAT